TTTGAAATTTTTCTTGTTTTTTGAGGTATACCTGTAATGCTATGAATTTTCCTCTTAAGACTGCTTCTGTTGTGTCCCATGAATTTTAGGTTGTTGTGTTCTCATTTTCATTTGTTTCAAGGTATATTTTGACTTCTTCCTTAATCTCATTGTTAACCCATTCATTGTTTAGTAACATGTTATTTAGATTTCATGTCTTTGTGTGTGTTTTTCAGTTTTTCCCTTGTGATTGATATTTAGTTTCTTACCATTATGGTCAGAGAAGATGTTGACATGATTTCAATATTCTTAAATCTATTGAGACTTGTTTTGTGTCCTAACATGTGGTCTATCTTAGAAAATATTCCATGTGCACTTGAAAAGAGAATATATTTCACTGCTTTGGGATGAAATGCTCTAAAGATATCAATTAAAATCATCTGATCTTGTGTGTCATCTAAAGCCACTGTTTCCTTGTTGATTTTCTGTCTGAAAGATCTAATGATTGATGTCAGTGGGGTGTTAAAATCCCCTACTATGACTGTATTACTGTTAATCTCTCTCTTTATGTCCATCAAGATTTTCCTCATTTATTTAGGTGCTCCTATTTTGGGTGCATAAATGTTTACAAGGGTTATATTCTCTTGGATTGATCCATTTAGCATTATGTAATGTCCTTCTTTGTCTCTTGTGATGGCCTCTTTTTTGAAGTCTATTTTGTCTGATGTAATTTTTGCTATAACAGCTTTTTTTTTTTTTTTTTCACATTTTCACTTGCATAAAATATCTTTCTCATCCCATTACTTTTAGTCTCTGTTATATTTTGTTCTGAGGTGGCTCTCTCATAGATAGCATATATATGGGTCTTGTTTTCCCATCTATTCAGCTATCTTATGTCTTTTGATTGGAACATTTAAGCCATTTACATTTAAAGTGAATCTTGAGCCCTGGCCGGTTTGGCTCAGCGGTTAGAGCGTCGGCCTGCGGTCTGGAGAGACCCGGGTTCGGTTCCCGCTAAGGGCACGTTCCGTTGCAGTTTGTCCCTGGCTCTGGTCGGTCGTGCGGGTGGCAGCCACTCGATGTGTCCCTTCACGTCGATGTTTCTCTCTCTCTCTCTCTGTTCCTCTCTCCCCCTCCTACTCTACCTGAACAAAAAAAAATGGAAAAATGTCCTCGTGTGAGGATAAAAAAAAAAAAAAAAGAGTAAAGTGAATCTTGATAGGTATATATTTACTGCCATTTTATTCTTTTAACTATGTTTCTTTGTTTCATTTCCTTCTATTTTTTAAATTATTATTTATTTTTTATCCTCACCTGAGGACAATTTTTTTCAGATAGAGCAGGAGGAAGAGAGAGGTGAAGAGAGAGAGAGAAACATTGATGTGAGAGACACACATCGATTGGCTGCCACCCACACAACCCCAACCGGGTCTGGGGACAAAGTGCAACCAAGGTACATGCCCTTAGCAAGAACCAAACCTGGGACTCTCTGGTCCACAGGCCAATGCTCTAACCACTGAGCAAAACCAGCCAGAGCTCTTTTTTTTTTTTTTTTTCTTAAATCAGGACATTTAACATTTCTTGTAATACATCTTTGGTAGTAACAAACTCCTTTAGCTTTTTTTTGGTCTGGGAAGTTTTTATTTATCCTCCAATTTTAAATGGTAGTCTTTCTGAGTAAGGCAGTCTTGATTGTAGGTTTGAACATATCTTTTTAGGATATAATTCAAAAACACTTCAGCTACATTCTGATTAATTTCTTCATTCAAATATCCTGTTTATTAATCAATCTTTAGTTGTATCAAATCTTCTGCTTAACATATTTAAGTTTCTAAAATTTTAATTGTTATATTTTTGGTTTTCAAACTGTAGTTTTTTCTCTGCACATAATTTAAAGCTGTTCTTTTTGTTTGTATATAGTAAAATATGGCTATTTCTATTTTATGGGCCCTTTTCTATCATTTGTTGTTTCTCTTAGTTCATAGTACCTTGTTATTTTTCCATTTTTTATTTCAATTTATTGGGATAACATTGTTTAATAACATTACATAAGTTTCAGTTGAACAACTTTATAATAAATCATCCGCATCTTTCATTGTGTGCTAATCACCCCAAATCTAGTCTTTTTTTGTCACCATATATTTGACCCTCTTTACCTTCTTTACCATCCTCCACCACTTCCCCCTCTGGTAATTACCATACTGTTGTCTGTGTCTAGGAGTTTGTTTGTTTTGTTTGTTCATTTGTTGCTTTTTGTTTTATATCTCACATATGGGCAAAATTATATATGGTTTCTGTACTTTTTTTGGTCTTGTTTTGTTAATCCTTACCTAGGGATATTCTGCCATTGATTTTTATTTTGTCTTTATTATTGAAAGTATTACAGATGTCTCTCCCCCCACCCCCATTTACATCCTCCTCTCTGCTCCTGCCCACCCCTTTCCATTGGTTTTTTTAGAGTGAAAGGGAGGAGGGATGTAGGGAGCAGAGAGAGAAAGAGAGAGAGTGAGAGAGACATTGATGTGAAAGAGACATCAATTGGTTGCCTCCTGCACAACCCTGACAGGACAGGGATCAAACCTGCAACCCTGGTACATGTCCTTGGCCAGGAATTGGATCTATAAATCTTTGGTCTGCTGGCTAGAGCTCCAACCACTGAGCCAAATTAGCCAGGGCAGTTCTTGTACTTTTTTATATGATTTATTTCACTTAGTATGATACTGTCAAGATTCATCCATGTTGTCACAAATGGCAATGTTTCATCTTTTTTATGGCTGTGTAGTATTCCACTGTATATATGTACCACAATTTATCCAGTCATTGATCAAAGGACACTACTGTGAATAATGCTGCAATAAACATAGGGGTACATATCTTTATTAATGAGTGTTTTCCATTTTTTTTGGATAGATACCCAAAAGAGGGATTGCTGGGGCATATGGTAGCTCTACTCTTAATTGTTTTAGGAACTTCTATATTGTTTTCCATACAGCCTGCATCGATTTACATTTTTATCAGCAGTGTATGAGGATTCCCTTTGCAAAAGAGGCTCTGAAAAGGGCTAATATACAAAACATATAAAGATCTCATGCAACTCAACAAGAAGAACAAAGAACAAAGAATCTATATAAAAATGGGCAGAGAACCTAAACAGACACTTTTCCTAAGAAGACATACAGATGACCAACAGACATATGAAAGGATGCTCAACTTCACTAGCTATAAGGGAAATGCAAACCCAAACCACAATGAGATACTACCTCATACCTGTTAGTATGGCTTTTATCAATAGGACAAGAAGTGACAAATGTTGGAGAGGTTGTGGAGGAAAGGGAAGCCCCGTGCACTGCTCCTGGTACCTTGTTTTCTCATGTGTTTAGTGAATTTTGACTGAGTAGTTTAATGTCATTGAAAATTTGCCTTTTGAGGTTCATGGGGACCTGGCATTAAGTTGGTTCCTTATGAAAATCTATAAATTTTGTTTTTCCAGAGCCTGGGGTAACTTCTTGTTTGGGACAACTTTAAACTAAAATTTTAGTTTGAGGATGATGCAAATACTATACCTTTATACTTTAAGTCAACATGATAGCCAGATTATGGATTCAACTTCTTAAGGATGGTGCCTTCCTCTGCTAAATTGCCCAGTTTTAGATAGATTTTCATGTAATCACTGGTGAAAAGGAATAGTATTTTTAGTTCACTCTTACACTAAAGTAGAGCCCTTTGGAGGCTCTGACTTAAGAGAGGGAACTTAAACACCCCACCTTAAGCAGACACTGAAATTTGCCTCTTGTACTTTGTGTGTCATGAGCCATGAAAACTGATACTCAAGTTGATCTAGTTTGCAAATGCCCTCAAATTTCTCTTACCTCTCTGGTTCACACCATCATTAGGTCTCCGGCTTGTGCATTCCTTTCTTTCTAGCACAACAGTGGTCTTAATAAAATGTTTCAAAGTTTTAATCTAGCATTTTAGTTGTTTACAGTGGGACATTTAGCCTAGTAATATTGTCTGCTGTCTTACTGGAAATAGAAATCCTTTTCTTTTTTAATCTATTTGTAGGATTTCTATTATTTTAGAAAATTATCTGTAGGACTTATGGTTTAAAAAGTGATTGGCCTAAATTTTTAAAATCATATTTTGTGACAGGCTTTAAAATCTTAACTGTATCTGTGGTTATGGCCCAGTTTTTATTTACAGTTTATTTGTACTCTTTTTTTCTCTTTTTCTGACTTGATTAGGCCAAAAATTAATACAGGCATATAAATGATTAAAATAAAATGTGGTAAGATCTATGAAGTTTCTGTGAGTGTGTTAGTTATGGAGACATTTTATCAATATTTAACTGGGAAGATGCATGTAAAGCTGTCAGCGTGTTGTCTCATACTTGGAAAGACCTCAATAGATATTAAAAATGTATAGTACTAAGGAAACCTTCCTTAGATAAAGGAGAAAGTAAAAATTGTCCAGAGAATGAGTGGGGAAAATCGATTAGTATTGATAAGTCCAAGAACAACTAAATAAACTTTAATATAATTAATGCATAGTATGAGAGTGAGAATGGCCTGGTAGACATAATAGGGAACCTGAACTTTATCCCAAGAGAAACATAGTTATTGAATAGTTTCAAGCATAAATGTATCTCGATTATATTTGTTTTAGAAATATTATTTTGGTTGCTATATAAAGAATAGTTCAGATGGGGCCAAGAGTGGATACTAGGGGGAAAGATAGTGGACTACTGAAGGAATACAAGTCAGAAATAAAATGAGGATAATGGATGGATTTGATATTTTTCAGGTAAATCTATAGAACTTCATGACTCACTGGATGTTGGGAGAAAAGACAGTCTAGAGTTAAGGACAAAGCCCAGGTTTCTGGCTAGGGCAATGAGTGGGCGGGTGGGTGGGTGGTATTATCACTCACTAATATAGGGCACAAAGAAGAACAGATTTGGAAGATACAATGATAAGTTTCACTTTGTACATGTTGTATGTGAGATACTTTTGATACCTGTGATATTTACAAGAATGTCTCCTCTGCAAACTTCTTTGCCTCAGGAAAGTGCAAAAGATGTAGGTTTCTCTATAAACTATTAAAATGACCGATTTTTCCTAAAGGGAAGGGGGAGATCCTACATAACACTTTGATAATAGAAACCAATTCTTCCATCTCTTTCTTTGACTTCTTTGCATTTGGTTCTAGATTAGATATGTTCTCATTGTTTGCTTTACAAAATGTGATTATTATATAGATAATTTAATTCAGCCTATAGACAGTTCAGTTTAACTTCTTCTGATCCAACAAACATGGTATGGTTGGTTGGCCACCTCTCATTTCCAACTCAGAGTATCCACACCCTTGTATAATACGCTACCCTTGAGGATGGGTTGAACTTTTCAACTTACTTCTAAGAAATAGAATATGGCAGAACTGAGTTAGGTTGTGAAAGGACTATGGTTTGTTTTGGGTGCTGTATTTCATGCTCTCTCTTGAATATCTTTCTATGGGGAAAGCCTACTGTCATGTCATAAGGCAGCCCAGTGGAAAGGCATATGTGACAAAGAACTGTTGCCTACTAAGAGCAATATGACAGAGCTCGAGAATGAGTCCCCTTCCAGTTGAGCCTTGGAATGACTGCAGCTGTGGCTGACATGTTGATCATAGTCACATGAGAGATCACAGACCAGGATCACCCAGCTAAGTTAATACCAGATTTATGACTCACAAAAACTGTGAGATAATAAATGTTTGTTGTTCTTAGCCACTAAGTTTTGGGGTAATTTGTTATGCAGCAATAGATAACTAGCATTCTTCGCTCGCTGGCAAGGCAATCAGCCTGAGTGGTAGAATGTGTATTTGAGATATAGGAATGGGAACGTAGTGACTGAGATCATATGCTATTTTATTTATTAAAGAGTTAAAATAGCACATTAACAAAACCTTATGTGATAAAGAAATAACATCAGAACTCTTCTGAATGTGGTTATCATCTGAGTCACCAGAAACACTGGTTCTGCTGAGTTCCTCCACAGTTATATAAATCAAAGACTAAGAGATTGGCTGAAATCAGGATTGAATAACTAGATAGTTTCTTCTGGAAAGATAGAATGAATGAATAAGAAATTGAAATGAAACCCCACTATTTGGAGAAAGAATACTCTGTCATTTCTGTAGCCAATATCTACAGTCTCAAGGAAACAAGATTGTGACAATGATCTAGTAAGTCTGGCTCCAGAGGTCCCTTTAGCTTGTCTCTTGCTTGACTTTGAGGAGTGAACTGGGTATGATTTAGAGATAATGGGAGGACACAAAAATTCAAGTCCTAGACCCATCCTTTAATCCTGAGCCATTAGTGCCACAGGTTCTCTTGGCCTCTCATGTCTGAAAAATGCTCAGTATTAGTGTCCCCACTTTGAGTGACATGGCTGCCACCATGAGTGGGTGCTTCCTGAGATGGGAAGAACCTGTCCAACACCCTCTTCTCTGGTTGTGTGAAACAAGAACCAAAGCAGGGAAGAGATGAGAGGGGTCAAAGATGTCAGTCCAGGAGGTGATCATTTAGTCCTTCATGCTATAAGTGGTTTCAGATTTTCAGAGATGAAACAAGTCTTTTCAGCAAAGTCAGTAGCAGGTCACAGCCCCAGGGCCTGGCTGGTTTTATCAATCTGGCAGTTCAGAGTCAGCGCAAAGGACATCCCCAATACCTGAGAAGAGTTGGGAAAATATGAGATCTCTATAGGACGAGCCATTTCTCCCACAACCTCTGGGATCAGCCCCAAAGTAAAAGAAAGTATCTGTTACACTGAAACCACTCTGCCTGCCATCACTTTCAATTCCTTCTCAGATACTGTCTCTTTTAGCTTTATTGTGGCAGTGGGGAGACAAGCGGGAGTGATGATGGCAAGACACAGGAGTATAAAGTATGGGGCCATCACTTTTCCCCTTAAGTCCTTAAGAAAGCTTAAGAAGCCCTGCTGATGGTACAGGCATGTTCTGCATAAGTCAACACTTCATGCAATGAGTCATCTCTACCCATGCTCTAGACCTCCTTAGTTTCCAAGCAGAGAAACTTTGTTTTTCTCTGAGCTCCTGGATTCCATCTTAGCTAATCTGTGATATACCCAAAACATTTGGGTATAAAAACGGTAGAAATGTCATAATATAAAGAACACAAAACTACCCCCAATTGAATCCCGACTTGTCAAACTAAGCAGAGAAACAGCAAGGAAATTGATTATAATTTTTTTTACCAACTCCTGCTTAGCACACAAGGCCAAATTTCAAGTGGAATGTTTTGTCTATCACAAGCTTTTCTCTTAAGGATAAGTTGACTAGATAGATCTTACAGCATATTTTCCATATGCCTTAAATTGGTAATAACATTTGCTACCTTACTGGGGAACCTCACATTTATTGAGCATATATTATATAACAGGTACTGTTCTAAAACCTTATATGACTTAACTCCTTAAAATAGTCCTATGGTTAAGCTCTTACCTGGATCACACACACACAGATAGTGATGATGCCGATATACAGGAAGTTGGACTGAAACCACATTTTTGCTTTTACATAGCAACCCTAGAAAAAATGATAATTACAAATGATACCACTATATTATTCAACTTTATCAAGAGGCTTATTTGGGAAAACAGTTTGTCTTTTGCCTTAGGCCAAGAGATTTAAGCCAGGTGTTATATTTTGATTTTCTTTATATAAAAAAGAAATAGGCATAAAGTAGAGAATATATTAAATGAGACTTTTTGGTTATGTTATTATTATTATAATGGTACCTAAACTAGAAGTCTTAAATCCTTACACACTGAGTTCAACTAACTCCTAAAAGGTATGTCAGCAACAGATTTCCTTATGTTCTTTGAACATTTACTGCTGACTTGGTATTAACAAATTGGAATGTAGGCAATGCAATGCTAGGATTGGTTGCATTTCAACTTCTGCTTCAAAAGCCAGCAAACCCATCATGGCCCTACCAAGCTCCAGGGCAGTTGCTGGTTGGTAGGTATCCCAGTATTTTTTCAGACACCTAAGAAATTTCAGAGATTTCCAAACAACCCCAGGAATGGGTAACATGGGGTAACAGGACCTTAAGGACTTGGTCAAATTAGAAGATGATTTGGGCTTCTTTTCTGGGCCTAGTCTGGAGGTCAAAATTAAGCGGGCATGTTGTTTCAACAGTTTCACCAACTCTGTTTCCTCCAACTCCTCACTCTTTCCCTTACGATTCATTTCACTAAAGGGCTGGATGCTTCCATCTTTACAGAAGGAGAGCAGATAGGTTGATGGAGAAGCTTTTCTACCCCAACCTTATAAATTTCACTTTCAACCATAGAAACCCACTTCTTGCTCAAGAAGAATCTAGACATAATCCTCTGCCATTATCATATAAATTTTCCCCCTCTAATGTAATAGTTTAGAGCACCAAGATTCTTAATGACATCTCTAGTCTAAATGAACTTGTTTCCTGTTGTTCTGTTTTGTTTTTTTTTTATTTGTCTAGTTACCTGGGTTGTCTCCCTAGTCTCTATTTTGTTTAAGGTTCTCTGTTTTTGGTTGGGAAGACTGGGTCCTATATGACTGGAGTTTCTAAGGCAATTAAACATTCAATTAAAAATGCTAATAACAGAAAAGTTGCCAAAAATTACCTTAACTTGTGGATCTGAAGGGCAAGAAGCTGGTGGGCCGCTGGTCCAATCACTTGTGCCATTTATACCACAACATTGCAGCTGAAAATAAACCCCCGCCCCCCAAAATGTGATTGTTAGAAAGTCAACAGAATTAAATCTCTAAGCCTTAGAGAAAAGGTGGGACCTTCATATCTGACTGTATAACAGAAAATCCAGAATTGGCCTGAGTACTATAGCTTCTGAGAACAAAGTGCTTTCAAATCTATTATACCATTTCATTCATGTAGACTCCTTGAAGTAGAGAGGGCATGTTTAGTTTATTCATACTTTGCAGATAAAAAATTAGGCACACAGGGGACTTTATAATGGAGGGATCAGGCTGACCATACCTAGACCCACCAACTAATCTTGAGATCACAAAAAGTAGGACAATCAGACATTACATGCCTGCTCACATGATGCAATGGGAAATATCAGCTATTTCCTGTTGTGTCTCATCACAAATGGAAACTGCATCAAGCTTCTAGATTCACAAGTAAAAGAGATAAAGACTCTCTGACACTAAAATATCTTGAGGAAGCAATTGGTCGGATCCAGAAAGTGGGACATTCTATAAAACAATTGATCTTTTCTTTTCCCCCACAAATAAATAGTGTGAACAAAGAGAGATACTATTATAAATTAAAAGACATTTAGAGAGACATATCAACAAGATGTAACAAGTGAACTAGTTTAGATCTTGATTTGAGGAAACCAATTAAAACTAATTTCTAGGTAATTAGGTAAATTTTATTGTAGAACATTTATTACTGATATTAACAATTATTAAAATTTTAGGCATATTAAAAAAAGTTATTTTACACAAAAGCTAAATAACACACTTCTAAATAACACATGTTCAAAAAAGAAATCTCAGAGGAAATTAAAAAATATTTTGAAATAAATGAAAATGAAAATACAACTTATAAAAATCTGTGTGCTGCAGCAAAAGCAGTGCTTAGAGAGAAATTTTTTGCATCAAATGCAAATATCAGAAAAGAAACATATAAAATCAATCATCTAAGTCCACTTTAGGAAATTAGAAAAAGAAAAGCAAATTAAATCCAAAATAACAAGGAGAAAAGAAATAATAAGAATTAGAGTAGCCCTGGCCGGTTTGGCTCAGCAGTTATAGCATTGGCCCATGGACCGGAGAGTCCGGGATTCAGTTCCCGCTAAGGGCATGTACCTCGGTTGCAGTTTGTCCCTGGCACGTGTTGGGGTCGTGTGGGTGGCAACCACTCGATGTTTCTCTCTCACGTCGATGTTTCTCTCTCTCTCTTCCTCCCTCTCTTCTTCCGCTCTGTCTGAAGATAAATGCAAAAGGTGTCCTCAGGTGAGGATTAAAAAAAAAGAATTAGACTAGCCTGGCTGGTGTGGTTCAGTGGTGGAGCATCGACCCATGCACCAAGAGGTTGCTAGTTAGATTCCTGGTCAGGGCACATGCCCAGATTGTGGGCCCGATCACCAGTGGGGGGCATCAATATTCTCTCTCATTGATGTTTCTAACTTTTTCTCCTTCTCTCTTCCTCTCTCTAAAATCAATACAGAAAAAAAATTGTTTTTAAAGAATTAGAGTAGAAATCTGTGAAACTGAAAACAGGAAATCAATAGAGAAAAATCAACAAAACCAAAAGCTGGTTCTTTGAAAATATCAATAAATTGATAAGCTTCTAGCCAGGCTAAGTAAGTAAAAAAGGGAAGATACAAATTACTACATCTGATGAAAGAGGGGACACCACAACAGATGCCATGCAAATTTAAAAAATAATAAAATGCAATAGAACTCTATGCCTACAAATTTGATAACTTAGATGTAATGGACTAATTCCTTGAAAAATACAATGTGCCAAACCTCATGCAATAAGAAATAAATGACTTAAATAGGGCTATATCTATTTTAAAAAATAGACTCAATAATACATGACCTTTCAAAATAGAAAGAACCAGGGCCAGATGGATTTACTGGTGAATTCTACTAAACATTTCACTAAGAAAGTATACCAATTCTCTACAATCTCTTTCAGAGGATAGAAGCAGAGCCAATACTTCCTAACTCATTTTATGAGGCCAGCATTACCCTAATACCAAAATCAGACAACGACATTATAAGGAAAAAACAAAAACAAAAAACTAGAGACCTATGTCTCTCATGAATATAGATGCAAAAACCTTCAATAAAATATTAACAAATTGATCCTGGCCGGTTTGGCTAAGTGGTTGGAGCATCGGCCTGTGGACCAGAAAATCCCAAGTTTGGTTTCTGCTAGGGGTAAGTACCAAAAAAAAAAAAATACATACACACACACACACACACACAAATTGAATTTTAAAAGTATGAAAAAAATCATACACCATGACCGAATGCAATTTATGCCAGGTAGGTAAAGCTGGTTCCACATTTAAAAATTAATAACTTCTAAAGATCTTCTATACAACATTGTACCTACAGTGAAAAATAAAAAAATGTTTTAAAATGTTAAGAAGAGAGATCTGATGTTAAGTATTTCTCATCACAATAAAACTGAACCAAGAGTGGTTAAACATTAGAAAATCAATTAATGTAATCTGTTGCATCAAAAGACTAAAAAAGAAAAATCACGCAATTACATTGATAGATGCAGAGAAATCATCTGAAAAAACACAACAACCATTCATAATTAAAGAAAAAACCCTCAAAGTTGGAATAGAAGAGAGCTTGCTTAACTTGATACAAAAACCCTACAGTTAGCATCCTTCTTAATGGTGAGAACTTGAAGCTTCCCATTAAGATCAGGTACAAGGCATTTCTTTTTAACATCATACTGGAAGTCCTGTTAATGTAATAAGGCAAGAAAACTAAGTGAAAAGTATACAATATTGAGAAGGAGAACATAAAACTATTTTTGTTCACGAATTATATAATCATCTATGAAGAAATCCAAAAGAATAAACATAAACTTCTAGAATCAATAAGTGATTATAGGAAGGTTGCAGGATACAATGTTAATATGTAAAATTCAATTGCTTTTCTATATTTCAACAATAAATAAGTAGAATTTGAAATAAAAAACACAATACTATTTACATTAGCAACCCCCAAATAAACTGCTTAGGTATAAATCTCACAAAATATGTACAAAACCTAAATGAGAAAAACTATAAAACTCTGATAAACAAACAAAATAAAAAAAGAAGTAAATGGAAAGATATCCCACATCCATGGATAGGAAGAATCAATATTGTCAAGATGTCAGTCCTTCGCAACTCGATCTATAGATTCAATGCAATCCCAATCAAAATCCCAGCAAGTTGTTTTATGAGTTTTGACCAACTGATTCTAAAGTTTATAGAGAGAGGCAAAAGACCTAGAACAGGCAACACAATATTGAAGGAAAAGAACAAAGCTGGAGAACTGATCCTACCCAACTTTAAGACTTACTCTAAAGCTACAGTGATTATGACAGTAAGGTATTAGCAAAAGAATAGACAAATAGATCAATGGAACAGAACAGAGAGCCCAGAAATAGGCCTATATAATTATAGTCAACTGAGCTTTGACAAAGGAGCAAAAACAATACAATGGAGAAAGATAATGTCTTCAACAATGGTGCTAAAACAACCAAAAAACCACATGTAAAAATATAAATCTAGATCGAGACCTTACACCCTTCTCAAAAATTAACTAAAAATGAATGAGAGACCTAAATGTAAAACACAAAACTATAAAACTCCTAGTAGATAATACAGGAGAAAACCTAGATGACCTTGGTTATGGAGATACCTTTTTAGAAACAAAACCAGACACACAATTCATGAAAGAAATAAATGATAAGCTGAACTTCATTAAAATTAAAAACTTCTGCTCTATAAAAGACAATATCAAGAGAATTAGAAAACGAGCCACAGACTAGGAGAAAATATTAGCAAAAGACATCTGAAAAAGGACTGCTGCGAAAAATATACAATTAACTACTCAGCAGTAAAAAAAAAAAAAAACTGATTAAACAATAAACCAAAGACCTTAACAAACACCTAACCCAAAATGACCTACAGATGGCATGTAAACATATGAAAAGATCTTCAATACCATGTCATCAGGGAAGTGCAAAGTAAAACAACAATGCAATATCACTATGTTCCTATTAGAATGGTCAAAACCTGGAACCCTGACACTGGTGAGTACTGGTGAGTATATGAAGCAAGAGTAACTTTCATTCATTGCTGTTAAGAATGCAAAATGGTACAGGCACTTTGGTAGACTTTTACAAAACTAAACATACTCTTACCATGTGATACAGCAACAATGCTCCTTGGTATTTATCCAAAGGAGATGAAAACTTACACCCACACAAAAAACTGCTCATAGATGTTTATAGCACTTTATTCATGCTTGCCAAAACTTGGAAGCAATGAAGATATCCTTTAGTAGGGGAATGAATAAATAAACTATGGCATATCCAGACAACGGAATATTATTCAGTGCTAAAAAAAAAAAAAAGAACTATCAAGCCATGGAAAGACATGAAAGAACCTTAAATGCATGCTACTAAGTGAAAGAAGACAATTTGAAGCTATACACTCTATGATTCCACTTACATGACATTCTGGAAAAGGCAAAACTATGGAGACAGTAAAGAGATTACTGGTTGCTAAGAATGGGAGTAGGAGGAAAGATAAACAAGTAGCACACAGAGGATTTTTAGTGCAGTGAAACTACTATGTACGATATTATAAAGATGGATATATGTCATTATACATTTTTCAAATGCATAGAATATACAACACTGAGAGTGAATCCTCCATCCAATGTAAACTATGAATGATAATTGTGTGTAAATGTAGATTGATTCTTGGTTAAAAACATGAATGTATTATTCTGGTGAATGATATTGAAAATGGGGGAAAACATACATGTGTGAGTGCACAGGGTATTGGGAAATCTCTGTACCTCTCTCTGTTCTGTTGTAAACCTGAAACTGCTCTAAAAATTAAGTTCTTAGTGCGATCTAGTTACCTACAGGAGCTGTGGGGTGCTGAGGCACCAGAAAGGCCTGTGTGACCCAGCTGGGACTATGCTA